ACCGCCTGCTTTAATAGGTGCTCTCGGACAGCACTTGCCCCAAAAGCCTGTTTAGGCTATATGGAGGATCTTTGTCTTTGTAGTGGTTAAAGCACTCGACTATAAACTCGACAGCCTGACTTCGATTCCAATCTGTGGGCAACATTAGTGGCGAATGAAATCTGAACTGGTCCCGGGCCTCGCGTAGGTCAACTCAGCCTTAAGCGAGTAACCCAGGTGTGTTCTGTAAAACAAATGGCGCTGGGCAGACGGAGGAGGTGGCCGTGCGTCGTGCCTGTCACACCAACATCTTGTGTGCCGTGCTGACCTTGATTGGTGATCGCTACAGCACTTGCTGTTACATCTACGTGGCTGATAGGGGCATCTTTGCATCTTATGGCGAGATGTTAACTACCTTGCCTGGTATGCAGGAGATCGTGATTTCGATCCATCTGACGCCTGTATATTTTGAGTTTGCATGTTCTCCCCGTGGTCACGTGGACTTTTTCCAGGTTCTCCGATTTTTTTATCTCAACATTTAGAAAAAAAAATGATAGGCCACTTTGTTGAGCTATCATTTGTGGCCAGGGCACTTCTTAAAATTAGCTATATAGCTCAGTGGGCCTTACCTGATAAAAAAAATAAATTGTTTGTAGTTCATAGTTTTAGTTTATCTTGCACTGTAGGTCTGAAATGTGAATATGTTTTCTCGCGAGCTTCAGGCTACACAGGTGGCTTTTCGGCTCAACTAAAAATAGTTGCACTTTAGAGGGCACTGTGGCAGGGTGATATGCCTTTCCAGCAGCTGTTGGTAGTGCAATCTCACATCACTTACAACTCTTGCCATTGCCCTGATCGAATTCCCCCAATGTGCAACCATGGCCTACACAGCACACCAGGTACTCATTCAAGGCTGAGATGACCTACGAGAGTGCCAGGATCTGACGTGACAAAGCAGTAGCACATTCCCCGCTTGTTGCAGAGATTCGCGGTTCTAATCCTGCAGGCCGCCCTGGTTAGTACTGTGGTCTGTGTGGCATTAACTGAAAAATACGTGCACCGTCTGCTTCACAGTGGGCATTAAAGATCCCCTGACGTCATTCGAGATGGGTCGGCCATCGTGTGCCGGAATCATGGTCCAAAATTTGCCCCACCAAAAAAATACCCGCAAATTACTCAATTGGGATCAACATGTATCAGTCATCGCCCCCCTACTGCCAGAATCATTTTAAGTTATAAGGCCAGGTTCTGGGTCACCATGTTCCCACAGGAACAGCTGACACACTTTCGTAAAGTTTGAGAAGTGATATGAGTGACTTATCGCATGTGCAGCGCTATTGAGACGCCCCTGCGTTAAAACCAACTCATCAGGAATCCAAATCCCAATCTCTTCACCCATTCCCCACCAACTGCACCAGCTATAGGCGGCACCCATTACAAACATTCTCAGAAGCTTTTCTATCTTCAAAATCTGTAGTTCATGGGAGTTAAATACTGCATAAAGGTGCTTTATTATGATTTTTATGATCACGTGTACTTTCCTGTGTGATCTGGTGCTCAGTGTTCACACAATTTAGCTTTGTAAAAGAATAATTTCACTACGTTGAACGTTAGTGATTCTTGGTTGTAAGTAATGATCGTCCTTGTATTAAATCAGCATTTTGCATGTGCACGTTTGTACATAGACACGGCACAAACATGTATGTTAAACATACGTGAACGTGCGTTAAAATATCATATATTTTTGTTTTTACCAGGTAAGGGCCCATTGGGGTATGTAACTCTTTACCAGAAGCGACCTGGTCATAATTGATAACTCAACGAAGTGACTTGCCACGTGTAAATGTATAGCAACCAAATACTCGAAGTGCACGTTGGTTCTAAATGCGGAGGGAAAAATCTGAAGAAACGGAGAAAAATCCACACAACCACGGGGAGACCACGCAAACTCCAAATATACCGCAAGCGCCAGTTTTCGGATCAGGGGCGGAGCCACAGGGGGGGTTGGGGGGGCGCTGGGGGGGGCTCAGCCCCCCCTGAAAATTTGGGAAAGTCGGTAATCGGGATAGCTGGATATCCGGCTGCTGCAAAATGCTGCAGGCTGCCACCTCGTGCTGCCCTGCAGGCTGCCACCTCGTGCTGCCCTGCAGGCTGTCACCTTGTGCTGCCCTGCAGGCTGCCACCTTGTGCTGCCCTGCAGGCTGCCACCTTGTGTGCTGCCCTGCAGGCTGTCACCTTGTGCTGGCCTGCAGGCTGCCACCTTGTGCTGCCCTGCAGGCTGCCACCTTGTGTGCTGCCCTGCAGGCTGTCACCTTGTGCTGCCCTGCAGGCTGCCACCTCGTGTGCTGCCCTGCAGGCTGCCACCTCGTGCTGCCCTGCAGGCTGCCACCTCGTGCTGCCCTGCAGGCTGCCACCTCGTGCTGCCCTGCAGGCTGCTTGAGCGGCAGCCTTTCAAACTTATCGAACTTATTAGCCACATCAGCGGCTCCGACCTATTAATAAACTCCACGTTCAAATCCAATAAAATTTGTTTTATACATTTGTGGCGCCCATTGCAAAACATAAACACTGAGATATCTCAGAATATTGAAGTCAGCCCCCCCAAAGTCAAAATCCTGGCTCCACCCCTGGTTGGGATCGAACCCACGACCTCCTGTATACCGTGCGAGGTAGTTACCATCTCGCCACTGCCACGCCCTCCTGTTATACATATAATAGACCATGTTACCGCACTGTGAACCCGCTGACTTTAGTTCGATTCCTGAGCACGACGAACATCAGTGGCGAGTGACATTTGCACTGGTGCTGGATACCCAACCGTTCGCCAACCCACGCTGACCAGCCATGACTGGAAATCAAACTCAGGTTGCAGGGGTTCACAGAGCAGTGAGCAAGGTACATGGACAAATGGGCCGTACGTATTTCATGTTACATTTCATTTATGACTTCATAGGATTTGTATTCTCACTTCCTGGATCATCATTAAGGTGATCGTCGTAGTTTCAAGCGAAGCGTCACGTATCCGATTGCTAAATCTGGAACTATTTGAGAATAGTTCTTCAACTCGCCAGTGAGTTGTAGTTATAATAATTACTCCCGTTAAATGCGTCTAAACATAACGATATAATTTGTTTGTTCATGCTAGGTGGTGGAGTGCCTGAGGACAGAAATTTGGCTCGTGTTATTACGTGGCCTAACCCAAAAAAATAAATCATAATGACATCTTTAAAATGTACATATATACTAATTACAATTTCTGTGAACAGTAATTGTGCATTGATGTATTCAAGTCTGAACAAAAATCCCTTGTGTGTAAATTTCTGCTGAGTTTGATACAAGCCAGGGAAGTAGTGGATCTGAATCTATCAACTGCACTGTGACTCAATAGACAGGCATTTCTTGGTGTTCTTACTTGCCTAGTGGAGGTGTGTTGACGCACGCAAGCACAGGCTGCTTTGTGTCAGAGCCAAAGCGATGAAAATAAATCATTTGCCTGGAATAATGTTGGCTTTTTGGATGATTTACCGTAAGTCATATTCAGTGCTGGATTAAGCTAGTGCGGGGCCTGTAGCATATGTTATAAAGGGGCCCTAAATAAAATAAAAACATGTGTAAATATTGAAACATTCATTTTTTACTTGCATAGTAAAGTAATTGTGTCTTTATAATTGCTGTACAGCCAAATAATACGACAAATCGTTAACCTTAAATACTCAGTCGTTCATAAAAGTTGAAGGCAGTATAGGACTATAGTAAAAGAGCAAGTGCAGAATCACTCAACCGGAATTGATAGATTTAAAGCATTTAGTGCGGGGCCCTTTAAAGTGCGGGGCCAGTAGCATGTGCAGCTACTTCTGCTGCTAGGATAATCCAGCACTGTTCATATTCCATTTTACTGCCGGCCATGATCACGTCATCAATAACCACGCTAGGCAAGACGTGGCTTCCAGGAGGTTCGCCGCCTTCTGCAGGCGGGATGTTGTGGATAGTCCGAATAGAGGGCCACAAAAACTGCGAAAAAACATTGTCAGTCGAATATATTCAACGAATTGTCCCAGCTCTGAACCGCCGGGCGGGGTTTGTGGATCCTGGCCATCACGTCATACCGGGAGACTCCCAGCCGGAAGGGTTGCAATGTGTCCATGGGAAACGGTTCTTGACTCGTACAGCTCTCTATGTGTCTTCGTTTGGTGTGATGCCGCATGTTTCGGCCCACGTGCTGGGAGCTTCGGTTCGAAACGTCGGACACGTGGGACAACCCGAGAGCGCGTCAGAGAGACGCGCGGGCGGCACCGCCACGGAAACCTAACCAGTCAGGGCTTTATGTCCTATTGATGATGTTACGGATCACTTTTACCCTGGCAGCGGCAGTAGGCACATGTATGTATGTTGAGCTTTTTTCACTCCATACGTAGCCAACTGTGGTAATCGGAGGGTGGACAACGAACGAAACACAAAAAGGAGTTGTGAAGAAATGAGCTTTCAATCTAAATCATTTAAAAGTGCATAGCTCCCGGTGGCTTCCTAAAATCGGAAGGAAGAGCGTTCCAGACGGCCACAGAAGAAATGGATCTGACTGATTGTGGGTGGAGCAATTATGCATCAGTTAGCGCACTAAACGATGAACCCGGCAATCTGAGTTTGATTACCCGGCTAAGACGGACATCAGCGATATCTGCACTGGTTCCGCCCAAACCTTCACCAACCAAAGCACGTTTTAAGTTTATTTTACTTCAATCTCGATTTGAAGCTTTCGTGACTGCAGGAATCCATACTCTTTGGTTCTTTCTGCAAAGTCGGTAGAACAATAACAGATCACGACGTTTCGATCGCCACACAAGCAATCGTCTTATTCACTACACAGATGATCAGCCGTTGAGCCATCTTCCCGGTTATATTACACGGGACATCCAGCCGCGGCCATAGCGACGAAGCACGGCAATACTGGACGTGGTGTCCGCGAGTACTCAGCCTAACGCTCGGGCGCCTGACGCAAATTTGCCTTCCGTCTTCGCTTGCAGCCACAACAATCAGACGACCACGTGGCAGGACCCGCGGAAGACGATGAGCCACGCAAGCCTGATCTCGCCGCCGACGCGCACCGCCGTGACCAGCGGCCAGACCCGGCACGGCGTCCACGTTCTGGGTGAGTAACCCCCCACCGCACCCCGCCGGCTCGTCGCCTCCGCTGCCCGTGAAGAATATCTCGCCTGGCCAGGATTTGTAGATCGGTTTAGAGAGCGCAAGTGAGGCGAAGTATATTGTGGGTGGGGTTTTTGTTGTTGTTGTTGTTGTTGCAAATCTGTCATCGTCCATAATAGGTGCGGCGCCACGGTGGATAAGAGATGTTAACTACCTCGCCTGATATACAGGAGGCCATGGGTTCGATCTCGACCCTGACGATGCCTGCTGTATGTTTGGAGTTTGCTGTGTGTCTCTCTTCCTCCCCATGGTCGCGTGGATATTTCTCGGGGTCCTCTAGTTTTTTCGTCCACATTTAGAATCAACATCACGCGTTTAGAGTATTTGGCTGCTATCAATTACCACGTGATAAGCCACTCGAGCGATAATTTGTGGTCAGATCGCTTATGAAAAAGAGTTATATAGCTCAGTGGGTCTTACCTGGTGAAATAAAAATGTATCTTTCGTTGAGTTTAGAGTGAGTGATACGGCTCCCCATCGCAAGATATCGTATATTGTGGGTCAGGTTCTTTGTAAATCTGTCATTGTCAATCATCGTTGTCAGTATGAGTTGTGTTCGACCTCATCATTATGATCAGCAGCAACAACGGCAGCATCACGACCACTGTAGTCACCATAGTCATCAGTCAACAGCAATGTCATCATCCGCAGCAGCAGCAGCAACAACAGCTGTACCATCATTGCTATTGTGGATATATGCAAAAGTAGCAAAACCATCGTCACTAACAGATGTGGTGGTGCATCATGATGTCTTCTGGCAATGCAGTAGTCATATTCGTGAAGAACAGGCATGGTAGTAATGGATATGAGTGGTCACACACAACGTGACTTTACCGAAAGAGCTAAGAATATTATTTTAATCATGTTGCTTATGATGATGATGACATTAAGGATGATGATGCTATCCTTCCAATTGATAAAATACACGTCTGCGTAAATATAAATGAACATACCTAAATTAGGTGTTTTTGGGTTAGATCGCGTAAATATAAATCTGTCGTTGAACCCGCCACCACCCGACACAGCCAATTAGTAAGGGTTTGTCACGTAAACAGAACGCGCCAATTGGTTACTACTACACCACACCGCTTTGGTGTTGGAGAGTGAACCCACGGCAACATTTACAATTCGAGTACCGTGACATTTCGCCGGTAATTACAACCAGCATCATCAGGTGAGACCCTGCTGTGTTTCACGACATTTATATTATCCCCACCCCCCCCCCCCCCAAAAAAAAAACCCTATTGGGGATAATATCGGTCGCGAAAGCCTACCGCGTGTTAAACTGATTATGAACATCGTGCACCAGTTTTGCCTCTGGTCGCATTCTTCACTCGACAATTCGTCCAATTTCATAACTCGTCCCGCGAGGCAAATCCGCCGTGCGAGCAATTCAACCGCGATGGACTTCCCCCGCGTCGTTCCCCTTTTTTTTAATTACCAAAAGGGTCCTTTCCGGACGGCTGGGAGGAGGCGGTGAACCAGAAGGGAGAGATGTACTTCATCAACCACAAGACTAAAACCACCTCGTGGATGGACCCACGTCTCGATTCTCGAGCCGGTGAGCACCACGTCGCTTGCCTACAGCACCGCAGGGGCCGTCGTTGACGCTCACACCAAACTCCACTCGCCCATTTCCTTCACTCGCCCATTCCTCTGCTCGTCGATTGGTCCACTGACCAATTCCTTCGCTTGTCGATTCTACCGCTCGCCGATTCCTCCACCCAATGTTAAGGGCTGGACATATGTGTAAAAGAGCTTCATAGCTCATGGGATTCCTCCAGGATGAATAAGTAATTCTGATTCTGATTCCGACTGGGCCTTAATGTGGGTGGAGGCAGGTGGCATTCGAAGCACAGAAGCATGAACACGGGGCTAACAAACAAAAAATATTGAAATAATAATCAAAGAGTTTATAACTCGCACATTTATCACAAAAATACAAAGCAACTTCCAGTCAGCGACGTGGAGGTGCAGAGCCAGGGTGAGGGTTCCTCATACCCCCAGACCTAGACGCGCAGTGGACAGATGCACACGCAGTCAGCAAGCGGACGACATTTCTGACTCTATTGCCAAAAAAGGACTGGGCAGCTTAATTCCGTGCCATTGTTTTTTTTTGTTGCAGAGGCATGTGCTTAAAATAATGTCCCAACCCATGAGGGCCACTCGCACAGCTGTGCGTGAACGTCTGTGCGATGAAAACTCCCCCCCCCCCCCCTCCCCATCCTACTCTCTCGTGTTCATCTCCCGAGGCAGCATCTGGCCGAACACAAGTTGTCGTTTCCCCCAGATAGGAAGCAAAAAGTCTAAACAAGTGCAGGGTTCACCATGCTCAAAACAAAATGCTGCTGGATAGAAAAAAAAGCAAACAAACGCTGGTCTTCTTCTTGCGCATCGGCTCCACAAAGAAAGACAAGAGTCCATGACCAGGCCTGATCGCCAAGGGATAGCCTTGCCGCAGACTGAATGGATGTCGGAAATTCCCTGCACTGAATTGACAAGGTTCCCATAATTTAACACCAGCATGGGTTTCAGCATGATCATAAAATAATGGTTTAGACTTTCCAGCCTGTAAACATTGCTAACCCATGTTGCTTACCGGCCTATACCAAACACTCTCGGCAGCCTATAGGCTGGTAAACATAACCATTGTTTTGTATTGGGTGGTATAATAAATCCTCCTATGTTTGTATAGTATCTGTCCATAGTTATTTGACAGCGGTTGGCCTCCTCGCCCTTTTCATACGGCATTTTAATTATCCAAGGGGAAAATACACTCCGTAAATCCGGTGGAAGCAGCATCATAACCGCATGCCTCAAATGTCCTCAGCCGTTTTCCCAGACGCCGTAGCAGACTGAGTGGGCATACAGCACTGCTGGTCGCACTGCCGGAAACGTTTTGCTAAAATCCCTCACAGCTGAATATCAGTGCAGTTGTCAAGAGATCGCACTTACTTCCAATTGTCACCGTATATATATACACGAACGCTGCCTTGAGCACAACAGTAGCAATACCATGACTGGTCTATACAATTCTCGCCTGCGGCAATATGTTCAGGAGCTAAACAGCAATATCGAGGCCTGCTGGCAACTACGGTGGTCCATAGTTTGGGTTTCATAGCCACAGCCGCACTGTGGCTCATCTTTGATGTAAACCGTTAACCCTCTCCCATTCTGAGACGCGTTGCAAGTTGCAAGGGTGGTGGGTGTCCCGTTCGCACCGCTGCTTCTGGGAACGCGCGAACGTGTTCCAGCGTTAATTTTATTTAGAGAGGCGTAGCTGCCCCATTGTTTTTAAACACGTTGTACTCGTTGCAGCCAACCGTAGTGGCACGACCGCAAACTCTAGGATGGCTGGTGCCAAACTATGCCACACGCCCTCCCGCATGGCCTTGTGGGAGCCTCGGCACCGATAAAATTTTATTAATTTTAGTTTTTCTTTCTGTAATTCCTGCCACGCCGAATGATTAGAGTCAATGTCGACGAGCTTAGCGTCCAGCACCGTAACCACTGCACTACTCTGTCGGATAACCATGAGTTAAGAGTTTAATCTCAACTGAACCTGTGCCAACAGACGCCAGCCTCAATTCATTCTTAAAAAGATGATGACGGTAAGGGCTGCAGCCCTGCAATTACTTTCCCATGCCTCTGCTGGAGGAAGGCGGCGGGGGGGGGGAGGCGGATTCAATAAACTTGCGCCATAGTTTAAACTGCCGTGCCAGGTGAACGAATCGAAAACCGGCGACCTCTGGATTGCGAGTCAGGTTTTCGTGCCATCTCTTACACCACCGCGGCGTCATCCGTGATTCACTCGCGGGAACTGCGGAAAAAAAATAAAGCCACCGGACTTTGCGTTTGAGCTAATTTCGCAAATGTCTGTCTGTCACTCTCTCTCTCTCTCCCTCTTCTTGCGATCCACGCGCCTAACTTTGAGCGTTTTGTTACATTCTTCTCCAGAGTGGGGGGGGGAGGGAGGGCTGCCTTATTTGTGCCTCGCGCGTTGGCTGCTTCAGCTGTTGCGCGGCAAGGGGGGGGGGGGGGGGGTCGAGCAAGGGGGGTTGAGTGGGCACGGCACGTGCAGCGGCCAGCTCGGGTGAGGCGACTAATCCTGAGGAAATGTGGATGCTGCGGTCGGAATAGGAATGGAGAGCGGAGCGAGTGAGTGGGCGGTGGGTTAAGAGAACCGGCGTGGCAGCGCCTCAGCCACCGTGGGTGTCATGGATGTCCGGACACTCACAAGCGGTTGTAGAGACGTGGCTAAGAGGCACCGACAACATTTTGGACAAAAAACCACGGTGTTTCTTTTTTTGAGTCTGTGATTGTATACCTCAACTAAACTATTAACTTACTTTTTATTTTACCCGGGTCAGGACCACTGAGCTATTTGATTGTTTTTCAGAAGCGACCTGGCCACAAATGATAGTTGAACGAATTGGCTTATCATGTGGACATTATAGCAGCCAAACACTTTAAATTCACGTTGATTCTAAACGTGGAGAACATGCAAACTCCAAACATACAGGAGGCATCAAGGCTGAATCGAACCCACAACCTCCTGTACAGTGAGGGAAAAAAGTATTTGATCCCCTGCTGATTTTGTACGTTTGCCCACTGACAAATAAATGATCGGTCTATAATTTTAATGGTAGGTTTATTTGAACAGTGAAAGACAGAATAACAACAACAAAATCCAGAAAAACGCATGTCAAAAATGTTATAAATTGATTTGCATGTTAATGAGGGAAATAAGTATTTGATCCCCTCTCAATCAGAAAGATTTCTGGCTCCCAGGTGTCTAGGAGCACTCCCTTTAAGAGTGTGCTCGTAATCTCAGCTCGTTACCTGTATAAAAGACACCTGGGAGCCAGAAATCTTTCTGATTGAGAGGGGGTCAAATACTTATTTCCCTCATTAAAATGCAAATCAATTTATAACATTTTTGACATGCGTTTTCTGGATGTTTTTGTTGTTATTCTCTCTCTCACTGTTCAAATAAACCTACCATTAAAATTATATACTGATCATTTCTTTGTCAGTAGGCAAACGTACAAAATCAACAGCGGATCAAATACTTGTTTTCCCTCACTGTATACCAGGCGAGGTCGCTAACATCTCTCCATACATCTGACACAAATGCCGGACAGACCTTTTGTAGACACAGTAGTGCATTAACAGTAGGCTGAGTACTGAGTCACAGTCGAACTCCTGTTAACCCTGATAAAGTGGTGGAGGGGGGGTGGGGCATGTCCAATCTAGCCAGCCCTTCAATTACTCACTGATATTCCTGCAAGAGTTGAACCCTGGCATGTGCCTGAAGATGTTGGTTGTAATTGCCAACGAAACATCCCTGTCAAATCGTTAAACATGGTGGACTGCCCTCTGAAGCAGTAATACATTGGCTTCCATACTAATGGGTTTTTTTTTTGGGTTAGATCGTGTAAATATAAATGTATTTAAATCCGCCACCACCCAACACAGCCAATTAGTAAGATTTGTCATGTAAACAAAACGTGCCAATTAGTTACTAGTTCAGCACACCGGTGTGTTGGAGAGTAAACCCACAAAATGTACAATTCGAGTATGAAGTTTCGCCTGTAATTACAACCAGCTTCATCAAGTGATAGCCATAAATTGTGGAGGATTCATCCTGTTTCGGTCTTAAATAGAGTGGGGTAAATGTGATGTCTTCACTTGTGAGCCAATCACGTTCCTGTAGTCATATAAATGACAATGGATGCCTATTGATGGTTGGGTTATTGACAGTTAATCAACATACAATACGTATGTGCAGTATGCTAATCTGGGAGTATGCAGAGAATATTCATTCACGTGGCTCTCCCAGTCGTGCGTGCGATGCCAACGCGCGTTGGCATCGCACGCACGGCGACATGACCCACGGATCAGGACCAATTTAACGAACCGTTGGATTGGTCCGGGCGAAAGCTGACGCGTACACGTCAAATTCGCCGGGTGGGCCGTACACCATCAGGATGCCCCCCCCCCGATCCCAACTTCCAAAGCAAGTGTTGGGCTGCGCCCCAAGTGTGGCAAGCCAGCGGTACAGTGAATGGTGTTCGCACTGCGCTGCCATACTGGCGACACGGGTTCTATTCCCAGCCGAGCGTATCGCTATCTTAGTCGTGTTCTGAGTGATCCCTCGGTTGACTCATCCTCAAATTACCACCTTGTGTCAGTGGGGGGGGGGGGGGGGGGGCGGGGGGGATTGCGGTGGGGGGGGGATCGATTGATATTTAGAAGAGAAAATACATATAATGCTTTATTTATTAGGATAATAGGTTTTTCCCCTTTTTTTCTGGCCAGAAAAAAATGGGAAAAACCTATTATCATATTTTGGTACTGGCAAAGGAGGTCCCATGATGTTTTATTTATAATTTATGTAGGGCCCTATTAAAAAAAAAAATTGGTATTTTGGGACTACCGCCTCCCCCCGCCCCTTGGGAAGTTTCTAGGTCTGCCTGATGCAGTGCGTGGACATCAGCACTGGGGAGACAAAGGCGGACACGTGTGATGCTGGCCACCCACCTGGTCATGTGCGGTGCT